ATTATTGTTTTATTTTATAAATATTTTTTGATGAATAATTTTAAAAATAAATTATTGAATCCTGAGTCAGTAGTCAGAATACAAACACATCTCCACATCAGCACAAATTATTCCTTTACAAAATAAATCTAAAATTGAATTTATTGAAGAAGAACTTTGGAAGATAAAAATAATATAAAATTTTACATCGAAGGGGCCCTAGGCGCCTCGCCACGTTTAGTTACCCATTCCCCACTATGCACTGTACCGTGAATAGCCTAACCTACCTCGCGAGGTAAAATCCATAATTTATAATTTTCTGCCTAGCCCTCCAAGGTCGTGCGAAAATTGCTTATTGTGTGTTTCTAAAATTCAGATGATTAAAAAAAAAATCATGTTGAGGGTTCATTTTCATTTTTGTAAACACACAAGATGGCGTCAAGCATAAATGATAGCACATGCTTTGCTTTCAGCCACAAAAAAAATCAATTTTACGCGGAAATGTGTTGATATAATAACCAAATCTGGTACAGTATTTTGAAAATATATTTATAGTATGAAAGTTAGTTATTTTCTGAAAATAAAGTGTGTTTATAGGTGATTTTATTCACCACCAGTATTGACGCCGACGCCTCGATCAAGGCGATCATGTTACAAAAACAACGATCAAATTACAAATTGCTAATTACCATAAACTTAGAAATTAATTATAAATGGAAGAAGGAATATTTTTTATAAACGTCTTTTGATATTTTCTCACATATTCTTTTAACTTACATGCACACTAAACCACGCATACGATTTTTAAATAATTATTGTTAATTAATTGCATAATTAATTACAATCGTCCCTGGTGACCTCGGCCCGCATTAATGCGGGCCTAGGGGTTGATCGGATTAGCAAGATCAACAGATCTTTTTAAATATCAACTTCCAATATACGAGGATTTATATTTATATATTCGCCTTGCAAACTTTGTCTTGGTTTTCATTCAATCTTTGCATTTTAGTTATATTGTAGCTTTTTTTTTCTTTCAGATGGAAGATTCTCTACTAAATTTAAGCTTCCTGATGTTTATGGAGTGTTCCAGTTTAAGGTGGACTACAATCGAATTGGCTTCACTCATTTGTACAGTACTACACAGGTGAATATGTAGATGTTATTACATGTTTTATTTCTTATTGTTTGCTCTTGCAGTATATTATTTTATTTTGGTTCAGCTATAATTAAGCTGATAAAAGGTGTAGGACTGAAAATATTATCCTTAAAACTTTTTTTTAAAACCAATTATACAGTATATACTTGTATAGAAACATATGTCATTGCTTTATCTATTTTTTTCTGAATGATTACTTTGTACAAAAAGAGATATGTAAGAATGAAACAAAACCCAACTGGAATTCTGCCGTATACTGTAGATCCCAGGTGGACAAATTTCTTCCCAACAGTGATTTCTTGTGGCATAATTAATTAACGTCCCTAAGTGTGTGTGGTTAATTAATTAAAGTCGCTATGTGTGCAGCTAGAAAACATCTTGTTTCTTACCCGGGGAAATTCCTGCAGGCGAAAAGTTGCGGGTGGGATTATACCTGAGGTGGGACTATACCTCGGGAACTACGGTAGTATTTCATAGCAATAGTGCACTGACTGTGAGAGGGTTTTCTCTATTGTTGAAAAAAACAAGACCAACCATCGAGCTAGCATGACAAAAACTTTAAGCGCTTTTATGGCACACAAGCTGGCAATGTTGAGATATTAAGTGTAATTTGTCTAGGCTAAATAATGACGTTATGAGATCAGCGAAACAAGCAACATACCATGCCCTTCATGGTAAAGTTTGTAGGCCTACCGATTAAAATGTAAGTTAATATAATAATATAATGTAATGTAATATTTGTTTTGGTTTTGCGATAAACTACACAATTAAAATTAGTTAACTCTTGTTTTTCCTTTAAAGAAACTGTACAGGAATTAGGATATAATTACCATAGTCTTACAAATGGTTTGTGGTGCAGTGTTCGAAATAAGGCTTGTCCGCTTGTCCCAGCCAACCAAAATGTCCCACGGACAACCAGAACTATATGGCAACTTGACAACCAAAAAATTTTGGACCCAAACCTCACCTCAAGTAATCGTTTTTTTGCCTCCCGAACTTTACTGCGTTGTTGTCACGAGCGCAGCTATTTTGCATTCGCCGAATCACACGTTTTCTTGCGTTTTGGTCTGAGACTTAAACTGAGGCGCCCTCTCGCATGTTACTTATACTGTGGCGGGCCCATAGAGATATAATAAATACTAGAGCGTATAATAAGAATACTAGAGCGCTAACCGCAATGTATTCGATGTTCGAAATACGCAGAACTGTGTGTGTGTACCATCCAAGATGGCTACCATAGATTTAGCCAAACTCGAGTGTTGCGGTGTTTGGGTGTGATATTTATTTTCATTCCTTGGTACTTTATTTCTGAATAAGATGCTCCACTTGGCCTCGTTTTGGCTACAATAGTTTAATAATATGTTATTACCATTATCATTAATGAAATAATAGTCAGTCAGAGGGCTTATTAATATGTAATAATATGTATACTAAGCCTGAAGGTGGCGCTTTACTACGACGGCTATCTTGGATGGTACACATACATAACTCTGCATTTCTGCGTCTTCTTGTCAGCACTCTAGCTGTTTAATAGCTCTATGGGTGGGCCGCACAACAAGGCACTGACTCGCGTATCAAGGCAAATGGAGGCGCGCGTGGGAAGGCGTTCAAACTTTTCATCGAACTTTTTGTCACGTCGAACGATCTTAGAAGGGAAAACAGTGCAAGGTAAAAATGAAGCAAGCAACAGATAATATATACGGACAAGTAAAAACATTTGCGGACAACCAAAGTTTCCATCTAGGTCGCCGGACAACTTTAAGTTTTTCCTTATTTTGAACACTGGGTTGGGGCGTCCCTATTTTTGATATTCCAATGTTGGCAGGTATGAAATATTGTTGTAAAATGTGTCCTGGTTAATTCATTATGTCGTCTTAATGCTTTATTGTGTGAAAAAAAGTGCATATAGGATTTTCCTACTTTCTCACCCCTGTTTGCTTTTAAGACAGTTATTTTTCATTATAATAACTTGCAAATAAATTTTACTTAAAAGAATTTTAACTAATATAACAACCTTTCCTTTTTTCCAGGTGTCCGTACGACCGTTTGAGCATACTCAGTTTGAGCGCTTCATTCCGTCAGCTTATCCATATTACAGTAGTGCGTTTTCCATGATGGTTGGCCTCTTTCTATTCAGTCTCGTGTTTTTACATCATAAAGAAGAACCAAAGGACAAGAAGGAGTAGATAAAATTTTCTTTTAAAATCTCTTTTTAACTTCCTAGTCC